CTGCATATGTCAGACACTATTTTTGAGCCATAAGGGCATTAACAACTAGCGGGATGCAAACCTTATTGACAATACTCTATATTCCTTTAGAGTTCCAGCATCATAATGGTAATTTGAGTATTTTGAACCAGATGGGAACAATTCTAAAATTTTCCCTTTGGGGACAAAATCTTGGGGTACCATTTTTTGCAAAATGAGGCTTTCCGAGAAGAAACCACACCGCCAAGACCAAACCATCTCATAGTATATGGAAGAGGAGAATTTTAGAAGGAAAAAACCATCACTAAGGTTAAATAATTGTATGGTACCTTGGTGTGACGCCCCAGGCATCCATAGTGAAAGGATTTGTCGACAGTCTTGATCAACCATCACTTCCTGCTCCCTTGCTCTGACATGAAATTGTTAACCACATATAATGAGCTTAAATAGCCCAGCAGGTTACCAAAAACCTACAACTGAAATCAAAGCACAGTGCGGAAGCAATATGCATGTCAATCAGTCGAATCCATAACAGTCACTTGCACATGATCAGTGAATCTATGTGGCAGATACGAAAATTAGTAGTCAATGCATGATCGATACAATCCACAATCATCGGTAAAAGAATCGATAAACAGTAGGAAGAAATCCATAATGCTCAATAAATCAGTACATACGTCAAATCTCGGAAGAATCCATAAACAGTAAAAAAATCTATATTCGGAAGAATCTCAGTTAAATCGGTCAGTTACATCGATAGAGAAAAATCGTCGTCTCGATAATATCATTTAAATCAACATCGTATCAATAGAATCAATAAAATCAATCATCTCTGGTCAGTAATATCAATCGATATGAAATCATATAAAACAATCAAAACAATACATCGCAAGAACGGTTGAAATCAAATCAATACAGTAAAACCTACTCCATATCAGTCAATGAATCACATGCAGCAGTTCAATATGGTGTATCAGTGAAGCGATAGTATCAATGAATCAATATCAATGAATCAATAGTATCCATGTCCATAGTATCAATAAGTCAATGCAATATCGATATCCATATCGGTATCATTATCAATGCTCAGTGACACGATGCGAAAATCAATGAAATCGTACAGTCTCGTAAATCCACAATAAATCTGTCAATAACAATAAATCAGTAAATCCATACATAAATTAATAAATCGGTTCAATATTGATAAATCAGTCGATACAATAAATCATGCAATATCGATAAGTCCATAAGGAAATCATAAGAACAATACTTTACACATGCATTCCAGTACAGTAGTCTTACTCGAAAAGTATAATCACTAGCTATTAAGGTGTTTTTCGAGTCGATAATCCATTGTACTGTTATAGAAATCCATAGTGTTGTTGTAGAAATCCATAAATATATCTGTTGGCTCAATAAGAGTCGTCACTCTGTGCCCGTCGGCCGCCCATCAGCATAATAATCTCCTTATGACTCCCAATCGTTATATCAATGATTAATAGATGATATTGCCAAACCCTTTTTAAAGGAAAGCCCGTCGGCCCACCATCTTGTACAGGTCAAGTCAATCTCTAACCAACGGTTCAACCAATCTTCACTTGTCTTTCAGTAATAGTAATATATATTCAATCATATATCCACATTCATATGCATATTCAATCATTCAAATCATCAATTTAGAAAAATCAGAAGTCGTACGAGAAATCGGCGGCATAATGGCAGTACACGAAATGCACACACAAATCAATAATTCAGAAATTAACCAAATTATCACAGAACATGGAAAACAACATTATAAGACTTTTATCGTACTGAAGCAATATTTTTCAACATCCTGATAACTTTCTATTCGATAAAAATTACACAGAACTCAAAATAACCAGTAGAAATTTTACATAAAATACTCAAATCGTGCAAGAATATCATATCAGAAACATATCAAAAGTTGTGCGGTAAAACTTTCGTCAATACAAAATTATGAGCGTTTTTCGGTTACGGAAACACAAAACTGAGCACAGAATTATTAAAACTCGAAATCTTCGAAATCAGAAATAGGATTCAGAGTCCTTACTGCGAGATAAACAAATCTTCCAACTACGGCATCGGACGAAAAGTGCTCCGCGGGCTTCAAAACCCAGCTTCTTCTTTTTCTTTCCTTCTTTTTCTCTCTCCTGCCTTTTTCTCTCTCTTCAAAATGATCCAAAATATCTCAAGTCGGATATTTATCAAATAGGATCGTCCAGGACGATGCCCAGATCGTCCCTGGACGAACTCCTCTGGACACGGATCGTACAGACGAAAATTAATTCCAATTTATTTCATCCCTGGACTAAACTCTCGGGTTCAGTTCGTCCTGTACTAAGGACAGTTCGTCCGGACTAACAACACTCAAAAAAATCAGCTTTACACTTGGAGCTTCCAAGCTTTCCAAATTGTTGCAAGTAAGGCTTCAGAATACGACTTCTACCAACCGAATACCCATACAATTGATAGGTTTCACTCCTCAGAAGTTAAATCAGTCTTAGCTTTAGGAAAAACAATAACCTCTTCTTAGTTATTAATGAATATAACAGAGAGATCTTCATAGGAAAAACTTATAGGGGCTATTTGGATGCATGATTTAGGCCGGATTTGAGGCAGATTTGAGCAAAATCCAGCCAAATGGACAAAAAATGCAAAACCAAATCTCACAGTAAATCAAAGCAGAGGTTGAAGGAAAATTCCCTCTTTTCGTGCTAAATCCCAAATTTACTAAATCCTTTGGTTTGGCGGATTTATGGGATTTTGCCGAAGAAGTGCGCGAAAGGGAGAAAGTTACCTTCACAACAAGCGAGCTCCCGTTGTTGTTTCCGATCAAAAAATGTCGTAACTTCCGCTCCAACAAGAAGAGAACGTCGTCGAAGGAGAGAAGTCGAACAACAAAGAAGAAAAACTCATACAAAACTCTAATCCTGCGAAGGAACAGACGAAAGAAATAGAGAACGGAAAGGCAAAACCTAGACTCATCTAAGTTATTGTTGAATATTAATAATGAAGTAAAACTAATTAAGTAATTAATAAATTTATTAGTTAAATAGTTAGTTATTTCAAAATAATTAATAGATTAAATATGATTTTAAATGAAAATAATTACTATAAAATATTATAAATAATAATTAACCGTCTTAAATCTTTTAACCACTTTAAATATTTTAATTATCCAAGAAATACATATCAAATCTTTTAACCGTATTAAATCCTGAATTAAATAGCCAAACAGTCACACAATATTTATCATAAATATTGCCAAATAATTTTCAGGATCTAATCCCCTTAAGATTTCGAAAATCTGGATTTAAAGAATTTATGAAATCCTACTTAAATAAAATTTTGGGTGCTACCAAACAGCCCCATAGGATTAATGATATTGGACCAGTCAAGGGGAGGAGGGATTTGAGGTAGAATGTGATAACGGGGAAATCCTGACAGGACTCCATGAGCAGAAATAGAGAGTCAGGAGGGGGGAAGACCGTCAATTAACACAAAAAGTCAAGTGAGTCGCCAGCGAGGAAGATCTGCGTTGCACCAACAAGGATAGTCAACTGTACTTTCCCCTTAGATTCTGAAATATTTATTCTTCTACTCTTTTTTATTTCACCGCATGTAAATATATTCATGAGTGGCAGCTTTCAAAGTAGATCCATTGGTTTTATCATCCTGTGCAAAAAAGAATCCACCCTTATACGAAATTGGTTCGCTTTGAATTCCTTTAGAAGGTAGTCTCAGACGACCCGGTCATCTTTTCCTTTTTCCTTTCGTTACTATATCTCCTCAACTCAATTTCGTGCTAGTGCACTCCTCTCCTTGTCCGAAATACTCTGCCTCCGGGTGTTCGCGAAAATGCTTCAAATCCTGTGGTATCCGTCCTCACTGTGCTACTTCCTTCTTCTCCTCCCCCTTCTGCTACGTCCCTCGGCCTCTGTGCCCACCAAGGAGGATTTTAATGCGACATTAAAAGGGGGATCCGGTTTTACTAGGAACGGCAGTTTGGATTGGTGCCTGGAATGTGTGGATTCCGGAGGGAGATGTATTTACGATGAGACTCGGCCAGAAGATCATATTTGCTTCTGCTCTGATTCTAACCGCCTTGGATCTTGTTTTAACTGTAAGCAGATCTCTCTCCCCTATTCTTTTCTGCAATCAGTTCTTCCTTCTCGACTCGACCTTACCTTACCATTACCAAATCAAACTGTACTGTTTTAATGAGGTTTAAGAGGGCATATCATATTTTGAGAACGTACGTTTCTTCTATAAAAGATAAGGTGAAGAAATGCAAAGCATGTGCCTTTATGCCTCCTTCCCTACCACATTCGTTGTTTCTTGTGGTTTGATTTTTTTATTTCCTTGCTTGTTTATCGGAGAAGAATTTTTTCTAGACTTCTTCTATCGTTTTATGTGAGTTAATACAAGACAAAATAACTATTAAACATTGCTTTATCGGCATCCGCCAATCAAAATCCTGGATCCTTCATTACTCTAAAGAATTGAAAGGAATTCAATAAATCTTGGATAGTTTATGCTTGCTGGAAAGATCACTAAATAAAGTACTAACTCTTTTGAATAAAACTAGAACCGCAAGAAATTTACACAAAATGAATTTTCTTAGTAAACAGATTGTAGAATAACCGAAGAACACATATCTTCCTTTTGTTAGTTTTTATGAGTTTTATTTTTCAACAAGATTTTATTTCCTGGTCTTAGGCACTCGTTTTACTAGCGTTTGGTCGTTGGTCTAAACGCCGGCAAATTAATGCGTGTAGAAGAATCATTACCAATATCTATTTGATTAGTGTAGAAACGAAGAAGAAGATGCAGAGACAAGAAAATAGATCTTGACAGGGAAGAAGAACAGAACGTAAAAGATATTATTTTCTATCATATCCAAACTGAGTACAAGCTAGTATATTTATAGAGCTAGGTACAGGCTAATGTAATAGAGTAACCAATGCGGAGCCAACACCTGGACAAGGCAATACAAGCAGCTACACAGTAGACTTGTTTGTTTGTTCTAATACGCCCGAGCAAATTGATGGGTCTTGGCAGACCGTCAATTTGAGTCTGAGTTGATGAAAACGAGGTGTTGACAAAGATTTGGTAAAGATATCCGCTATTTGATCAAGAGTGCTAATCGGATGTAGCCGAATGTTGTTCTGCTGAATTTGATCTCTTAAAAACTTTTGATCTATCTCAATGTGCTTTGTGCGGGAGTGAAATATGGGATTGTTGGCAAGTGCTATCGCGGACATGTTGTCACAGTAGAGGTCTGTCGCGTAGTCTTGATTGATCCCGAACTCTGTGAGAAGCTTTCTGAGCCAAATAATATCGACAGTCAAGGCTGCTAGTGCACGATATTCTGATTCTGTGGAAGAGTGGGACACCGTGCGTTGCTTTTTAACCGTCCAGGATATGAGGGTATCACCCAAAAAGGAACAATAACCGGAGGTGGATCTTCTTGTGATTGGATCACCGGCCCAATCCGCATCTGAAAAGGATTTCAAAAGCACGTTAGTTTTGGTGATAGGTAACCCAAAATCTAGCGTTCCTTTGATATATCTAAGAAGTCTCTTGAGCATGTAAATATGAAGCGGCTTTGGATCGTGCATGTGTTGAGATAACATGTTGACACTGAAGGCTATGTCCGGCCGCGTAAGCGTGAGATACTGAAGTGAGTCTGTTATTCTTCTATACAGAGCCGGATCTGCAAGAAATGGCTCGGCATTGAAGTGAGCTGGAGGCTTTGTACACGTTGGATTAGCAAGGGGATTACACCTGGAAAGATCAGCCAAAGTAAGTATAGATAAAGCATACTTAGTTTGAGATAAGAAGTAAGAGTTACTGAGTTTTTGAATTTTGATTCCTAGAAATTCCGTGGCTTGCCCGAGGTGCTTCATGGAAAATTCGTTGCTTAATTTGGTGAGAATGGAGCTGATACATTCCTGTTTATTTCCGGTAATTAGTATGTCGTCGACGTATATTAGCAAGAAGATTTGAATCTTGTCTTGCCGATATATCATGAGAGAAGGGTCGGCCTTGCTGTGCGAAAAGCCAAGGGATGCAAGAAATGAGGTAAACTTGTTGTACCACTGTCTTGGAGCTTGCTTCAAGCCGTATATAGCCTTATGCAGACGACAGACATGATCCAGATGAAGATTGTCTTCGAAACCTTTTGGTTGTGACATATATACTGTTTCGGTCAGAGATCCATGTAAGAAAGCATTTGCTACGTCCAGCAGTTGGACTGGTCATTCGTGATAGAGAGCGACCGCTAAGAGTATTCAAATGGTGGGAAGCTTTGCTACCGGACTGAATGTTTCAGTATAGTCTATACCAAATTCTTGAGTATTTTCTTGAGCAACCAATCTCGCCTTGTATTTAGCTACTGAGCCATCGGTATGAAACTTGGTCCTGTACGTCCATTTGGATCCTAATATGGAGGCATTGGGAGGTGGTTGAACAAGAGTCCACGTCCCTTGCTTTTGCAAAGCAAGAAATTCACATGCCATTGCTTGACGCCATTCGGGTTTCTTGATGGCTTCAGTATATGACGATGGGTCCTGTGGAGTAGTATTAGCGGTTTGGGTGTGAATAAGATTCAGCCTCTGAGTTTGCTTGATAGAGCCAGTTCTGCTCCGAGTGACCATATGATGCGTGGGTATCGGAACAGAATTAGCGTGCTGAGGTGCAATGGGAGGATTTGGATTAATAATGGGCGGAATAACAGGAATGGGAGATGGGACAAAGAGCTGAGTTCCTGATTTAATGTTGATGGAGTTAATGTGAGAAGTGGTATTGCTGAGGGAACTTAGGGACGTAGGAATGAGCAAGAGAGGGCACGGGTTATCAGAAGTTGGAGAAGAATTGTTGGAGATCTTAGAGAAAGGAAACACAGTTTCATTAAAAGTCACATGCCGAGACATGATAATTTTATTTGTGGAAGGATCAAGACACTTATACCCCTTGTAATTATCAGAGTAACCCAAGAAGATGCAGGACTGCGATTTCGGTTGAAGTTTGTGATTGGAGTGAGTAAGATTGAGCGGAAAGCATTCGCAGCAAAAAATTTTTAAGGTTGCTGTAGTTGGGTTTGGTTTTGTGAAAAAGCTCGATCGGAGAGAGATTATTGATAGACGGAGAAGGTAATCTATTTATAAGATAGACAGAAGTGATAGTAGCATCCAGCCAGTAGACATAAGGAACAGAAGCAGTGAGAAGAAGTGTCCTGGTAGTTTCGATTATATGGCGATGTTTACGTTCGGCGAGTCCATTTTGTTCGGGCGTGTAAGGACAGGACAGCTGATGCAAGATGCCTTGAGAGCGAAGATAGTTCTTGAAATTGAGATTAACAAATTCTGCTCCACCATCCGTGCGAAGAATTTTAATTTGATGATTTGTGAATTTTTCAATATAGGTTTTGAAATTAACAAATGTATTGAAAACATCTGATTTGTGCTGTAAAGGAAAAATCCACGTATAGCGAGAGAAGTCGTCGACGAAAATGACATAGAAACGATAGCCTTGCGAGGAAGTTACCGGCGCAGGACCCCAAACATCCGAATGGATCATTGCGAGAGGCATGTTTTGACGGTGTTGAGAAAATTCAAAAACTTGTTTATGGCATTTGGATGCGTTACAGAACGTGCAATTCAAGCAAGATTTATTTATTGAAAGTTGCAGATTACAATTTGAAATGAGATCTAAAATACGAGTGTGAGGATGCCCGAGACAGTGGTGCCAGTGGTTGATCGGAGGGCCGGTAGCGGAAAGAGCGTGTTGAGGAGCGGAGGTAGAAGCAGTTGGAAGGGAGTAGAGACCGCCTTCACAGGGTCCTTGAAGAATAACTTTGTGCGTCCTCAAGTCCTTTAGCGTAAAACCGGAGGGATCAAAAATAATGGAAATGTTATTGTCTTTTGTCAGTTGAGAGATTGAAAGTAAATTGAATTTAAGAGAGGGAGTGTGAAAGATTTTAGACAGGAGCAGCTTACGGGTTGGGGTCGGAAGAATACCGGCCCCGGAGTTGGCAATGTTGACAGAGCTACCATCGCCAATGGTGATATTGTCTTGACCTTGGTAAGGTTGCGAGATGGCAAGGTTTTCAAGAGAATTTGTTAAATGCGAGGAGGCACCGGAATCCAAATACCAGCTGGCTGGAGCGGCTTCGGAGGTAGCCATCAATGCCTCATTACCCGTTCTTGAAGGGGGAACATACTGAGCGTTCATTCTGTGCTAGCAAGATTGGACGGTATGCCCTTTCTTGTAGCAAATTTGACACACCAGAGATGCTGTAGCAGGATTGCGCCCTTGAGTTGCCGAGTTGGACGGAGTCCGTCCGCGAGACCTACGACCACGTCCTCTGGACGTAAACAAGGCCTTGGCAGGATCAGGCATTGGAGGAGCACGAGCCGCGTCAGATGCCAGATTTATCTCCTCACTTACGAGAAGAGGGTAGAGCTGATCTAAGCTGAGCGGTGTTTGCATAGTGCGGATAGCCGTTTTAAACGACTGGTAGGAATGCAGAAGCCCATTAAGAATGTGATGAATGACGTCTTCAGCGTCTACAGAAGCTCCTGCCGCAGTTATTTGATCGACGACGGTTTTGATCTCCGAGAGATATTGAGTCATTGATTGGTTCTTGAGCGACACCTGATGAAGAGCATTCCGAAGTTGAATGATCTTGGATCTGTTAGTTGCTTGAAAGCGATTTTCAAGAGCAGTCCAGAGATCGGCCGTAGAGTCCAAGGAGATAACGTAAGGTAAAACTGAAGATGATATCGTAAAGCAGATCGACGCCGACAAGTTCTGATCATGTAGGAGCCACTACGTATGAAGGGGGTTAGGAGATGAAGAGCCATCAGCGTTCGTCAGGCACGGTGGCGGAGGACTGGCACTTGAGTCCAAGAAATGCAAGAATTCATTTGCCCGAAGAATTTTCTGAATTTGAGATTTCCAGATGGCGTAGTTGTCTGCTTGAAGCGGAGTGGTGACAAAGTTGCGGACGTTGGAGACTACGAATTTCAGAGTGGCAGAGATTTGAGTGTCATCAGAGAGCTGTTTGGTGGCAGAATCTGCTGTTTGGGAGGAAGACGAAGTCATGATTCAGGATCGTGAATCCTTTCCTGATACCATGTAGAAACAAAGAAGAAGATGCAGAGACAAGAAAATAGATCTTGACAGGGAAGAAGAACAGAACGTAAAAGATATTATTTTCTATCATATCCAAACTGAGTACAAGCTAGTATATTTATAGAGCTAGGTACAGGCTAATGTAATAGAGTAACCAATGCGGAGCCAACGGAAGAAGAACAGAACGTAAAAGATATTATTTTCTATCATATCCAAACTGAGTACAAGCTAGTATATTTATAGAGCTAGGTACAGGCTAATGTAATAGAGTAACCAATGCGGAGCCAACGGAAGAAGAACAGAACGTAAAAGATATTATTTTCTATCATATCCAAACTGAGTACAAGCTAGTATATTTATAGAGCTAGGTACAGGCTAATGTAATAGAGTAACCAATGCGGAGCCAACGGAAGAAGAACAGAACGTAAAAGATATTATTTTCTATCATATCCAAACTGAGTACAAGCTAGTATATTTATAGAGCTAGGTACAGGCTAATGTAATAGAGTAACCAATGCGGAGCCAACGGAAGAAGAACAGAACGTAAAAGATATTATTTTCTATCATATCCAAACTGAGTACAAGCTAGTATATTTATAGAGCTAGGTACAGGCTAATGTAATAGAGTAACCAATGCGGAGCCAACGGAAGAAGAACAGAACGTAAAAGATATTATTTTCTATCATATCCAAACTGAGTACAAGCTAGTATATTTATAGAGCTAGGTACAGGCTAATGTAATAGAGTAACCAATGCGGAGCCAACGGAAGAAGAACAGAACGTAAAAGATATTATTTTCTATCATATCCAAACTGAGTACAAGCTAGTATATTTATAGAGCTAGGTACAGGCTAATGTAATAGAGTAACCAATGCGGAGCCAACGGAAGAAGAACAGAACGTAAAAGATATTATTTTCTATCATATCCAAACTGAGTACAAGCTAGTATATTTATAGAGCTAGGTACAGGCTAATGTAATAGAGTAACCAATGCGGAGCCAACGGAAGAAGAACAGAACGTAAAAGATATTATTTTGCATTGATGACTTGGAAATGCCACCAAAGCCTACACTTTTTTCTTCTTAGTATCATTTTGTTCTGTGCGAGGTAACTCTTTCATGCTATTTTAATTTCCAGATTTTTCTTAGTTATTATTTGATGTAAGGTGTTGATCTTCTATAGGTGGCATTCTTATAATTTGGGGAAAGGATCGCCACATCAAACATTTTTATGAAGGTTATAAGCCGCATGATCCTAAGTAATAAACATACATGGTTACTTTTCTTCAGCTTATTTAAGAACTTTCAAATAAATACAACCTCATTTTTACTATTACGTCTTTATTTGATCTGAAGGAATTGAAGTAGATAAATTAAAGAGTGTTATACTAAACTACTTTATACTTTTGCAGCTTATTATTATTCCACTACCCTGCACCTCTAACCAATTCTCTGCTACCGGTAACATTGGTCTGCCATGAAGTCTGGCAACTGTGGTTGCAGCAGCTTTTTTTTTTTTTTTTTTTTGAAAATTGGGGGCAAAAAGCCCATGTATTGATCAAAAAGGTTACAAACTAGGTACAAGTAAGTATAGAAAACTATACCACCCAAAACCAAAAGCAAAGTAGAAATAAAAACAAATGACAATTGAGAAATTAAAACTTTAAGACATAAATTGGACTCAGGAAAATAAGGGCTGCATCAAAGCTGCAACAAAGCACAACAAAGGAAACCCGAGGATCCAGCCAAAAAATAATGGCACTGGTTACCAGCAAAAACGACCCTCACAGTGCCAAAAGAAGTCCACGAAAACTTGGTTGCCATAAGACCATCCAAGGCTGCTGGATCGATGCAGCCCTTGCTCATCATTATCCCAAAATAACCATCATCCTTCCAAAAGCATGGCAGGAGAGACTCCGGAAAATTAACATGACAGCAAATCCTCCAGCATAAATCTCCCCAGTAGTCCCATATCCGTAGATTATCCATCCAGATTTCAGAATAAGGCAAAAGTAGCATAAGCCAATACAGTTTAGAGTAGCAAATACAAAGACAAACCT